AAAATGTACAACTATATTTCTGGCAACAATTATTCTACAAAAGAGAGACAGAAAGAGAGAGAGAGAGAGAGAGAGAAAGAGTGAGAAAGAGCTGCCTCAACACCATTTGTATGTTGATAGTTTCCACTAGTTTTCAACTTAAAATAATAAAATTTAAACACAACGATCATTCCATAATTTATATTGTAATCTAAAAATAAAATATTTTTGTCCACTACGGCTGGTATTTATGTACATAAATATTTATATGCATATACATATATATATATAGTATATGTATATGCGTGTTAATATCCTAAGCCCATTAGAAACTTGGGGTATAAGAGTTTAATCCATGGGTATGTGACAGTCAGAAGGAAGCATAACAAATCTCTTATATACATATATGTATATACACTATATATATTTTACATCAGGGAGAGCTAGGTGAATAACCGCTGTTTATTTGTCAACCCGATTATCCGCCTAATCGTTCCTATAAATGCTACAAAATATTGATTAGTCTATACTATACTTGCACGTATATTCTTCTCTGCGATATTCATCACTGCGATAACTCAGTTCTTTTTAGTAAAACATATACTGTATATTGTATTGTATATTGTATATTCAATTCTTCAAAAAATGTAAAACTAAATCTTTTCATTTCGCTAAGTTATCAGAGCATAGAATGGTTAGGAGATCAGCCTTGCGCTACGGGCTCGGTATCTCAGGGTCACACAGGGTATCTCCAAGTCGGACATTTCCATCGACTACCGCCTTACGTGTTTAATTGAAAAATTGTAAAACTATTGCAGGCAGTGTAAGCTATAAATGTTACAGCTAACTAAATAGATATTCCATTTGCATTTAAATATTTACACATCCATTTAAATTGTTAATTATTTAAACGCTGCGGGACTTGCCTAAGGGAGATAATATGTATTTAATTGGTGATTACAAAACTAGATGACAATATTTAATTTGGCCGTCATTTAAAGGCTTCTCGAGTTATTTTTTTAGGTCAGGTCTGGTCAGATCTAACATATTCTGAGTAACTGATTTTGTGATTAGTTGCTTGACTAGATTGCTGAGGGATTGTCTGGGATTGAATAGAGACATATTATTTCAGTGATGGCACGGATTTAGAGGTAACTTTGAACATTTAATGTTAGCTTCGAGCTGGGCTATTAAACCTGTCAATAATCGATGAGAGATCTCATCACGAGATGGCAGAGCCGTTCAATTTCTCCTTCACATTTCAGAAATTTTGTCATATTGTTTATTTAATATCATATATGTATGTATATGATATATGACGCATAGCTATCGGTAATAGCTTTGATGCTGAAGACTTGGCCTCTTAAATTAGATAATAGTATTCGTTGACATTCTCGTCTTATAAGGCATTCATAGTTGCCCAATGAGTATGTCTATGGGCTATTCGGGAAATGGTATATGTGGTATAACAGAGACACTTTTATTTAAGGCGTACTTGAGGCTTTGAATATGGCCTCCTTAGGCTGCTCTAAATATATAGTGGTAGTAGTATATTTACGCCAATGGGGGCAATATCAAATCGGCTACAGCAGTATCTACCACAGAAATTTAAAGTGCGATACCTGACTGAAAAATATATCAAATTGAAAGAAATAACAAATATCTTTAAATTTTGTATGGATGGAGATTGATCAAAAATCGTTCAACTGTTATGCGCTCTGCATTGGTCGACTGCAACATTCATAAATATTTCTTTTCTTACTTACAGCGCATTCAAGGAATAACGGTACACACGAGTACCTGTAATTCCAGTTCACACGGACGCTCTCCGGCCCAACTGCTGCACAAAGGCCAAATTCTGTTTTCACGCCGTGAATGAGTAAGCTCAACGCTGCGAAGGATATATAGCCTACAGGACGATAAGGATAGCCCCTATTTTCTGTGTTTTTTCTTCTTTTTTTCTGTGGGGAGAGAGGTGTGGGGGGGGGGTTGGTTTAGCTTGTTGTGTCTGGGCAAGTGAGGGTCCGAGAGAACTTTATGGCTTGCTGAATGAATGTGAAAGCTGCACTGCTGCCGCTGGCACGAAGTAATCAAAAAAGTTTCGCTTATATATTGCAGCAGTCATAATTATCAGCTGCGAGGCATCTTCGAAGCCCTAATAGTGTTAGCGAGGAGGAGGCAGAGGCATGTGAAGTGCACTCGGCGACAAGTCAAATAGTGAAACATGAGAGGAGCAGGAGACAAGCAGCTGTACGGGCGGACCTTAAGCAGATGCTTGTTATCGCATTTGATGCGGATAATCATTGTTGTTGCACTCGGTTATGTGTCACTTGGATCAAAACAAAGCCAAACAATACCCAACTCGAACAACTCCTGCCAATCGAACAACACTTGTCAAGCATTAGCTAATATCCTTGAGCAAACACGGAGCCACGGAGCCAAGCAAACAACAACAGTGAACTCGAGCCGCTCTGCTGGGATTAGCCAGCCTGCGATTAGGACTGGCCAAGGTTACGCTCCAGCAATGGCCTCAATGACCTCACTCGCCCTCTTGGTAGTCGATCGAAAAACAACATTGGGCAAATCATAAAATACTCGAAATGAAAGCAATCGCCCAGCGCCGCACAGGCGATTTAATTTTGCATATTTCACATGCGGATAACAGCAACAGCCAGCTACAAATGTGTGCAATTCAGATAACATTCCAAATAGCTGAAAACAATGTGCAATATGCAATTACTCCGACTCCTGCCCGCTGGCCATGCGCACAGTCTCGTGCAATTCATTTTTAAGCTGGGTTAATTATTTGTAATTGTAACCTCGTTTCGGCTACGTAAACAACCGAAATCGGGCAGCACGCCGAGGCTCAGATACTCTAGCGAAAAACACTGCAGGTGGAAGGAATAATGGGGGTGGCCTCTCTATGATAATGAGGGGGCAAATACAGTTTAGATAATCTGGCGCAATATTTGTTTACATGTGAGGAGAAGAACAACTTGATAGGGATTAGCTGATATATAGGTAGGGTGTTGAGCGGGTCGAGTGCGTTGCCCTGATGCGTGCCGCCAAAAAGTTCAGTGGGCTGCATAATTTAACTGGCAATTCATATACATGCAAATATATCGAAGTCAAAAGTCAATTGCCATTGGCAGTGCATTAAATTTCAGCAATTAGATATTAAAATCGATATTTGTATAAATTTATAATCGAAATCAGCTTAGGCAGTCGGCAATGTTCTGTACATCCGACACCTGACGGTGGTGCAATGCACTCTCTCCCTCACGGCCACGCCCACGCCCACGCCGACACCCACGCCTCAGCCCCTAGTTTGCCTCTTGAAAGCTTGTCACGCTTTTCAGCTGCGCAGCGATTTCGATTTGATTGTAATTCCAATTTTAATTGAGAGAGCTCGGCATCAAATTAATTAAAATAACTCACCGGCTTGTATTAAATCAGCAAAACCATCGACATTCTATGCACCTGTTGTTTGTGCAACTCTTGGCGCATACTCGATTCGTTCCATTTAATGCTACCACAAAAAGATATGCTAACAATTTAATTAAAATTGCGTTGGACAAACAGCAGCGCAAACACTCATACGCTGCCTAACAAACACGCCCACAACTAGCGATATGCCATATGCAATATGCCCTATGCCGTGCCACTTGGCCATAAAAACTCCCCTATTCAATCACGTCTTGGGATAGCGTCAATACAAAAAAAAAAAAAAAAAAAAAAAATTGCGCGATTTTCAAATGAGCGTTTTCTGGCTATTAGGTAAATCATCCAGTTCGTACAGTTGGAAAGGGCTGAATAGGGTATATGTATTATTTTGAGGCATATGTCACAGGCTGGAAAAACATAAGACGGTCAAATGAACTGACTTTAGCTGGAAACTTTAACATGAATATTTCTGTTAATAAAAAATACAAATAAGATGGAATCCGATTACAAACTCTCTACAGAAGTTTTAACACGATCTTTGAGATTTCGAGCACAAATTATAGCGAGCTAATTAGATATTTTCCAATTGGAGCAGTGTCCTAATTCAGTTTATTTCTTCCACTGCATTCTTTCGCCGATAAATAAATAATCAAATAAATAAATACAAGGATCCGCGACTGTATGTAACACACATAAATTGTATATATATAATATCACGTATATTCCAATCATTGAATATTTGAATTAATTTGCTAAGCGAGATAAGCCATGAAGTTTATACATATTGGCATATATGGAAATCTCCTCATGCTCCACTCCTGATAAACCTTTAATAAGACAATTAGTATATTGATGTAATCTCTTTTATGTGCCCGCAACGTTTTGTTTCGAGTAATTTAAGTGGCTTTACTAACCAAAAGAGCGGCCTTTTACAGCTAACAGAGTATTCTTATCTCTCTGTAAAGATGACTATTTAGGAGAGCATACAGATTACTTGATGTCAATGACTTTACACATTTATTATTATTATTACATTTAAAATCAGAGCAAAAGAAACGATTCTTCTTGCTTTCACTGGCATTTGTTTTCCGAGCTGCATCGATGCCGGTGCGAATTGGGCACCGCGTGGCGTGCTTCCAGCGTGTTTGTGCGTGTGTGAGTAGAGCTGCATGGGCGACTGGAAGGTAAACAGAAAATGTAAACAAAACGTGCGCCACGTTTGGCCGGCTTCCGTGCGAAACTCACCACGAGTTGAAGAGCATTGGGAGCGAGGTGGAAGTTCGGCGGCTCAGCTTCGGCGGCTTTGGCTGCTTTGGCTGCGTGAAGAGCACAAAACTGTTGCATAGAAACAGGCGCCGATGGCAACTTTCCGAAGCCGGAAGCATAGCCAATGGTCGCAATAATTGGCACACAGCCAACGGGAGCTAGTCATGGACCACGGCGACGGGCCGAGCGAGGCACAAGCACTCGTTCGCCTGACAGCAGGACTCGCGAGCAGGCACGAAGCGCACGCAGCACACGAGCCGCACGATTAGCGAGGACTCGGCCCCGAGTCGCCTCCGTGGCCAAATCAAGCAACAGTTTTGCTCGAAACGTCAACACAGGCGGTCGCCATGGCCCAGCGCGCTCCTCTTCCGTCGCGGCAAACTTTACGTCGCGTGTGAATTTCTACGTGAGTTTCGCTGCGGCTCCTGTTGCAAGTGAAGTGTGTGTGCAGTTCGCGCTCTGACGTTGCCGGCAACAAAATAGAATAGAAAAGGAGTTCCTTTTTTTTCCAGTGATTTATAATTGCAACTGAAAAGGCAAATGAAACTGCATAGACATCACCGAAATTAAGACGCTCAGCAGATGACGAGAGGCTCGACTCGACCAAAATATAGGCTTAGTTCAGCTGATGATATTCGGTATGTGAAACGAAGACATGGGGCCAAGCGAAATGTGTCTCGGAATTAGCGAAAAATCAAAAGCTAATTTATACTAATTTGCATTCATTACACAGACATACACACACACACACATACACATGAGTGCTTCAATGGCAGCTGGCATTGTTATGGCAAGGAGGAGCCTTAACAAGTTAGAAAAAAGCACAGGACAAAAGGCAAACTGAGAAATATTTGACTAATCGCTGGCCGCTCGAATGAGGCAGGCGGAAGTGCAATGCAAAGCAATTCAGATTCAAATGAATGAAAATTGAATGAAATTAAAACATTTTCATTTCGAACAGAAACATATTGCGAGTGAATTGATTTTCAAGTGTTTACCAAATGGAACTAGGCCAATTTCCCATTCACTAAAATTTGATGGAAAACATTTTCTGAGAATGAAAAACAAAATAAGTTCTGGCTTGAGGGGAAACCAGCTCAGAGCTGTTACAAATCAGGAGTTAACCTAGATTTGAACGTTCTCCATAACGAGCCGATCCTTAAAGGACACTTTTGAGTAAGCCTCGATTTTAGCCTATTTTATGAGGCGGGCAAACTTGATTAGGTACATTTTTATTTTTTTATTTTTAAGGAAATCAAGTTGAGTGAGAAATGTGATTTTCCAGCTGCAGCAAAATAAACCTACGATTTACCAAGCTCAATTTAATAAGAAATTTAATTTAATTGAAGGAATTCTTTCATACAACTGAGGTGAAGATGACTTACACAGTGTAGGCGAAAGAAGTTAAATTTTATAACGAAATGCAAATCAAATCATAAAGAAAATGTACGAATTTTTAAAATGAAATATAATTAAATTTGAAATCTAAAATAAATTAAATTAAAATATATTGAAACTAATATATTTTGATCTGTCATATTTAGTTTTTGTTTTATATCATATAATTTGATGAATCGCATGAAATTTAAAATGAAATGAGAATTAATTAAATGAATATTAAATTATTTGCATATTATATAAATAGTTTGTATTTGATACAAAGTTAAGTTAAATTATATTAAATTATAAATCTATTATTTTGATCTGTTATATTTTAGTTTTAATCTAATTTTATTATTTTATTTGATTTACAAGAGCTTCATGTTTAATTTAATCAAATGAAAATAAAAAATTAGAAGCATATTTAAATATTACTTTTAATGTAATTTATTTTATTGTATTTTATTTTTTTCTTAAGAGTTGTTTTCTTTAAAAATATTTTAATTAATTTAATATCAATAAAAATTAAATAGTGTGATCTTTCATATTTAGTTTTTCATTGAATTTTATTTCATTTTCATTTACCTTCTACACTGACGCAGCGAAGCAAATATATTAAAATTATTACCATAAAAACTAGAACTCAAATAAAATCCCGAATAATTGCTCTAATGTGAGTTGAAGTCAAAAGAATTTCATTTTGAGCTGTGATGACTGAGATATATGTATGTATGTACTTATATATGTCGTATCGGTGTGATATTATGACGTTCTACCAGCTAGTGATTGTCTGTTGCAGAAACATTCAGCTCGCACTATGTGAGTGAGTTAGCATTCTAGTGACAATTAAAGCATGTATTCTCACTACCACAGAAACAACTAAATCTGTTGCTAAACGTTGTTCCGGGTGTTAAGTTGAATGAGAGCATAGGGTTGCAGTGATTTCAATAATCAAGAAAATTAAACCAAAAATAAGGAGATAAAATGTCAGAAAAGTATCAAGACTGTTGGATGAGACATCGGGAGCTCGATATTGTGCATAGCTATAGAGGAGGCCACGAATAATATTAACGATACGACATATCTTGTAGCGCCGAAGAACGAAGCTCTTTACTTAAGTATAGTGAAAAAGAGGTTTTCGTATGTCCTAATAGTCGATCGGTTTGTAGGAATTTTCCTAAATTCCTTAATTGGCGGTGCCAATGCCAAAATCCTTGAACAATTGATCGATGCGCCGCTTTAAATTTACTATTTATTTTACTGCAGAATCGATATCTTATTTACATTTGAAATTTAAAGTGGAATGTGATATATGAATACCATTTAGTGACACCAACGGCCTTTGCTGCAAAGTCATCAAATGCATCCAACTTATACGGACAAGTTGAACGCGGTTAGATATGTGGGTTTAATTTTGCTTGATCACCGATCAATCAATCAATCAATTCAGTTCATAAATGTTTTGTTGATAGATATAAATATTGTTTGCTTAATTGCTAAACCTTCGTAATTTATTGTATTAGTGCAATGATATCAACTTTGAATGTGGAGTACGTGTCTAGCTTGTACATTTGGCAGTTTTCTTTTTTTAGTATTTGATGTTAGCTACAATTGAGGCATTTGTATGTTAGTAAAATATTTAGTGTTATGTGGCGTATATATCTTTATACTATGAAACCACTTTGTTTGATTTAAAGTTCTGAATCCAAGGAAAAGGGTAGAGGATAACATACATATGTATCTATATACATATATACATATTCCCAATACAACACAGGCTATGAGCTGAAAGGACATTGCACGTGAAACTGTTTTCTAATTTTTTTCTGTTTTTGCCCAGAGCTAGGAGAGGGAAGGAAAAGTAAAACAAAACTGACATTTCGCTCGGCAGACTCTTGGCGCTGGCTATTTATCGAAATGTGTTTAGCCGAGCGTTGAGTAAACAGAACTAGCAAAGCTTTACATTTGTTTTTTCTAAAATGGAACGTATATATGTACATATATATGTGTGTGTCTGGTTGTGTGTGCATTTTATGTAATCTCCAGTTTAGGCGAACATCGAGAAAGTGCGCCTCGCCGCACCGAGAACAATTTTCAATTTTATAACTTATTGTGGCAATGGGTAGAGCGCAATTTGGAAATGTAGCGACGGCTGCCGCACGAACACCGTGCTCCGCTCTCTCTTATATTATTTGTAGTCCCCGGCTTGCGTGTTCTTGACGCAACATTTGCGGTTGTTTATGTTTTTGAGGTCTCATATCGTGGTAAGCCAATTGTTATGCCCATTTTGTTTTATTGCACACATGCACCCGCACACGCACACACACACATCCAGCCCGGACGAGATATCGGGGCCGTGTTTGTTAGTTGCGGCGACATTTTGCGTTTGGGTCACCTTCGTTATGGCCATCGCTTACAGGTGTTAATATTTCAATTAGTAGTCGTTTATGTAGCGAAAAAACCCTCATGTAATGCTTCACGCAACTGTTACTCGCAGCCAAGGCATAATGGCTATGCGTGAATGTGAGTGTGAGTGTGAGTGTTCGAGTGTTGGAGTGTTCAGCACTCACTCAATGCGCGCTGGCTCGCAGGGTGGCTGGTGTGTGGCAAATACTAAATGATTCTTCCGGCGGGTAAATAAATAATTTTAATTGTTGCCTTGAACGAACAAATTATATTTAAAAGCTGAAAAAAAAGAAGAACTAAATAAAATAAAATACAAGCAAGAAATCTCTTGTCGGGGGTAACCGACTAGGAGATATCCTGAGCCCCGACTGATCTGCGTTTTTAAGTATACTCAACAAAATTAGATTTTCAAACGACATTTTTGTCAAATATAAATAAGTAATGAAATGAAATAAAATAAATGAGGTAAAAACACAAATGAACAAAATGAAAAATCACCGCACCTCTACTCGAACCAAAGTCTATGTGCTCACTAAAACCCCAAACCTCTATTAACGACATTCCTTCATATTAAAACTACTTACCTGGCGCAGAGGTTAGCCGTGATCACGAAGACGGTTCCTCCGGAGTGAGGCTTGGTCATTGCATATTCGGGTGAGTTGACCTCTGCGATTATTCCTAATGTAAATAACTCGTGCGTGTAATTTTTGTTGAACAAAAATATATATACATGCATACATATATTGCATTGTAAATATTATGTACATATATACATATTTACTTGCCTCAGTTTGGTATCGAGCCCGGGACTATCTCTGTGCCGCGCTTCGCTTTTACTAATTGAGCTACTCCACTCCAATAATACATTAGCTGAGAGTTCTAGCACACTTCAATCTCAATTGTAATTCTCAGAATACGCTCTCGAATGTATGAGGGCACATATTTGAAAAGCATAGCTCTTTGGGCTGCTGTCGCTTGCATTTGTCGATTGCCAACACATTTTGTTTCATAAATTGTGATTGACTTAAGAGAAATTAATGGTGTCGGTATCCAAAAAATATCAATATTTTGGGAAATATGTACCTAGCCCAAGGTTTCGGTACACTATGAGATATATAAATTTGTAACTGATCTTCGAAATAGATATCGTATTTTATATCAACTTGAAAGTACAACAAGAAATCGTGCTTCCAGTGCTTTTAGGAGCTGAAATCGACGTGTTCACATTTACGGACAGACAAAAGGATGGTGTTAAATCGACTTAGCTGCGATAACGCGCAGTCTATATACACATTACATTGGATCTGCCACGCCTCCTTCTGCCTGTTACATACGTTTTAAGACAAACATTATTACCATTTTATATTTCCTATTTTCATGGGTTCAGGGTATATGAAAAACAAAAGCAAAAGAGAATAAAACTCTATTGATTGATTAATAATACTTTAATTTTAGTTTGTTGAATTTGGTATATAAGTTACTAAATAGGAAAAACAATCAGAGAGAATTTTGGTAAATTTTCAAGCCTATGACTTGACAGAGTCACAGTCATAAGATACAGTTCTTGAAGAAATCCCATAGCGCATCACCTGAAAGTATTTATTTATTATAGAGTAGAGTTCGTAAGTCGTAAGTGTTGAAAAATAAATATATACATATATTAATATACATCGCGCTAAAACTAAATTTAAATTATTAAAAAGTGATTAAAAAAATAATAAATTAACTTGGGGAGCAATCTCTGTGCCAATTGTTTTTACATTCCAACTCAATCGAACAATGTTATAAAAGTTGAAGTACAAAAAGACATTTGTGCTTATGCATTGATGCAGTTCCGCTCAACTGAATTGGATTGTTTATCCAGCTTCTATTTTTGTTTCCCTGCTCGATTCTGTTGCAAAAAGTAGATGTTCTTTGTTTGCATTGTGCCTTCGTTTGTTTATTCGTAAGATGGTACATAACAGAATGAGAATTTCGGTTTAATAATGATATTTTATGGAACCCTCCTGGATGAATTTGAGAACATAAACTCAGGGCTGAGATCGATAATTTTAGAGAACTCAACTATTTGGGGCTTTAAAATCTGTGCTTGAATCTTCAAATGTTGCCAATAGAAGGAGGGTAAGAATTAAAATTAATTTATGCCACATTTAAATATTTAGCAAATTAATATGGAAAACAAAAAATTGTTATTTATTCTTAATACATATTTTGCTGAAATATATAATGGAAGTCTGGTTGTCTTACATAGAACATTTTATGTTTTCTTTGGAGGAGGCTTTATTTAGTTATATAATTCCATCATTTTCGGAGCTCTGCTTCTTCGCTTTCTACTTACAAATTACGCTCTCCTTCTTCTTCTTTAGCTTAAGCAATTCACGATCGACAAGCCATTGATATGGCTAAGTATCGATATATGTATATCTATTGATAGTTGACCATAGTGCTTTTCTCTCTAATCTCTTATTGGGCTACTACATCTTCTTAGACGTATGGTATACGTAAAAGAGAAATTGACTTGCAAGAAAATTAGCATGAACATGCGTCCAAGAATGCGTCACATTCCTGAATTGTTTAGAAATTACTACCTTAAAACGAAGCTTTTATCCATTGTGAGCTGCATTAAATATTTTGTCATTTGCACAGACATCTATGTATAATAGATTTACTCATAAAGCTAGTTCAGCTTAGCCAGCGTGGATTAAATATAATTTGCAAAATTTTGTTTGGCATTATCTGAATACTATGCATTTTACATTTGCAACATAAATAAAATATTTTGTACTAATAAATTGATCATAGTAAATACATTTTATTTCTATGCTGAGTCGAGAATTTCTATTTACAAATATAGCCCAGCCCGAATTAATATATATATATATATATATATATATATATATATATATATATATATATATATATATATATATTGTGTGTGTGTTATCTGAAAAGCTAACTCTTCTATGTAAAATTATTCTTGCCCTATCTGAAATATTCGATTTCGCGGAATCATCAACGTAAAGCACAACAGCTCGCCTTTGGATTTAATTTAACAATGCATTTTTTTTTATTTGCTTAGCTGCACAGAGGACAAATGACGGAGAGAGAGGGTGAAAAAGAGGAGAGAGAAAGCATAAACAGAGAAAGCGAAAGAGGCAGAGGGAAGGCATACAGAGAGAAAGAGAGAGAGAGAGAAATAAAGAGGAAGATAGAGAGCATACAAAGAAAGAGGAGGTATAGAGAAAGGGACAGCGAGCGAGGGAGAAAGAAAGAGAGAGATAACGATATTTCGACTCTTACAAATTCACTTCAATTTCTTATTATTAAACAATACTTTTAAGTAATTTAATTATAAATAATTGAGGTGTATTTTTGGTATTGATCAAATCAACTGAAAATACTTGAGATTTCGATCAATAGAGTGTGAACAATCGTGTTTCTGCGTGACTATAATCACATAATATAATACAATTAAAATAAGCTGCTCATTTCATATGAATATACATTAACTTGAATTATATATTCATCATTTATATACATGTGTATATGTATGCATACATAAAACTTCCTGTGAAGGTGTCTACTTAATTGCAGTTCACATTTCGTTCACACAATTATACATTTTTGTTGTTGTTGCGGTATTTCAATGATTAATATTGTTTCGCTTGATTGCGAGAACGCTATAACGCTATAAAGTGGCCTAAAGTGTTGTCAGTGTCAGTGAGCGGATGGATGTACAACGGGTATTTCAACTTGATTGTTAGGTCCTGGCTTTGCCTCATGCCTCCTGCCCGGTGCTTGCTGCAGTGAAAGGCAAAACAATCAAGAAAGCCCAATTGGCCGTCGTTTTCATAATTTGTTTTAAATAAATATTGTTTGTTTGCAGCTGTACGTTGGCAAACTAAATGACATTTATTGTCAGTTTTTGGATCAGGACGATGCGGATGCAGCTACAGCTGCAAAAATCTGTCTCTGGCCAAATGTCTTTCCATATTTTTCATGCACAATTTCAGGAAGGGGTTCGCAGCGGCCAATGGAAATGGAAGTTCGTCTCCATCCTTTGCCTCAGTCACGGTCTCGCTTCTCGTTTCAGACATACACCCGTATATACGTACATACATATATACACAAACACATATATATGTATGTGTATGTATTTATATATACATATTTGTATATGCATTTTACTTGTGTGCATTTATTTATTTACGTGGCCATAGCCAGCCGATGGGCCAGGTCCAGTTGGTTACAGCTCGTCGTCAGGGAAAAGAAGAATATTGCAATGGCTGACAAAATTTATTTCGTTCCCGTTAGCGGTTTTTTCTTTTTGGTCGGCTTTTTCTCTTTTTCGTTATTTTTTCACTTTTTTTTTTTTTTTTTTTTTTTGCATATGTCAGCCCTGCCATGCATATTAAAATGTTAAAAAACACACATTTACTTTTGCATATTCATTATTAAATACTTTTTGGATACAATATATACATATATAGATCTATATATATAAATAATATGAGCAGATATAAATAAAATTAATTCTTTTGCAGCTGCTTAAATCATCAGTTTCTGCTTAACTGGTCGATTCAGCAATTATCTATTGTTTGTCGTCTATTGTATGCTCTATAAGTATCGAGCAGAAAAACGTATTCAAAAAAGTTCATATCGGATGAATACTGTACACGGTGCAGCAGTTGTTGCATCTGTACGAACTTCTTAAATATTCAAGAAAACTGTAGACAGCTTCTTTCCGTTAGTTTATTGTATAAATACTCATTCAAAAGCGCATGTGTATTATTAAGAAGAAGAGTCTCTCGGAATGATATCTATCTATCGATAACGAATGCCATTATTAACAAGTAAGAAGACTCTAGTCGAGACTGCTCGACTAGGAGATACCCTGAACCCTCCAATCTGATATTCTAATCACTGTGCACTTCTTTTCGGCACTCATACGTACACACGCACGTATTAGAACGCGCTCTGCTAACTGTGCAATAAGCAGCGACTGCGCTTGGGCTGCGCTGCAGTGTGAGCAACATTATAAGAATTTATTTGTTGAATAATTTAAATGAAACTTTCAGAACATAATCATAATGTTCAAATGCATGTATATTCCAAAGCACAAGTCTCTAGTATTTGAAATACGCATTTTACAAAGGTGAGGGTGAGGAGGTGGATATAAGGGTGGGGGGTAAATTACAACAAAAATCGAAATTATATTAAATACATATAAGTCTATATTTAAAATTTGGAAGCTCTAGCTCTAAAGGTGTAAGAGACATAATTAAATAACTAGCTTTCGATAAGGTTTTTGATCGATAATAAAATATCGGGAGTAGTTATTGATATTTAGAGGAAAACTTGATCTGCGCGTGATATACACGGACCTTAGAATTTCAAAAATTTCAAGTCTCTAGCTCTTATATTTTCTGAGATCGACGCGTTCATACATACGGACGGACAGACAGACGGACAGGGCCAAATCGACTCAGCTCGTCGCCCTGATCAAGAATATATATACTTTGTGGGGTCTGCCACGCCTCCTCCTGCCTGTTACATACTTTTAACAAAACCATTATACCCTGATTTCCCATTTTCAATGGGTTCAGGGTATAAAGTGTCATTCCGGACGTTCTATATTGAAAGTAAATTGGATCATAAAAGGCATTTGTGTGAATTGTGAATAGTCAGAGTGGACACAGAGTCTACTCTCCTTATGCCCTCTCCATTAATATCTCAACTCAATAGAATTAGATAACTTTGGTAATGCAAACCAAGGGCAATCCAGAGAGAAGAAGCCATAGAGTATTATTAGTATTGTAAAAGAAAATATAAATATTCTGGAAAATTCATATAATGCAATAAAGTATACTTGATTGTCCCTTGTAGCTCAGTACTTACTCATTAAATGTATATATATTTGATTCTTGAAATGTACCACAAGCATCCTGCAAGTACATGGCTCAATAGTTTGACTATCAATAATTTGCACATGTTTTTTCCGATTTCTTCTCCATCTATGTCAATGCTGTAAAGGTTCAGTTGCAAAAATTATAAATAAATATTCAACTATATTGGCTAGCAAAAAACTTTTTGAGAGTATAAAAAAGGGGAGCAATAATAATGCGAATTGCATAGAGTAAAACTAGGTATATTATATATGTACATATATTTAACATACTTAAATTTCTGCTGCAAAGAAAACAGAAGTACTCCCTACTAGGGGAAAAGTTAGGACGTTAAGAGCATTGTACAATATTTGTGTCCAAGCAAGAGCGTTAAAATTTTTTATAATTATCTCTCGATAAGACATTAACCTCATTTAACTGCTACAATATTTAATATGATTTGCCTTTCAATTGTGAGCCATTTTACATCGGTTAAGAATATAAAGAAATCTCAGCAAACTAATCGCACAGCACTTAGATTCATATCTAACTAACAAATGTTGATTTGGAGAGTCAGCTAAGTTGGAGCTACTTGGTCTATAGAATAGGAAGTCAGGGGGGATAGAAAGCGGAGTAGAAGATGACAGCTGTACCATGTCTATAAAGTTCTCGAAAACGTTGCTACTTTTGCCGCATTTTAACAAATACTTTCTGCAAGAACATTTAAAGTTCTATTTTGCTATGCAAATGAAGCGAGAGAAGTGGCAAGTGACAAAGTAAGTAAACTCATTGTCAAGCGGAAAAGTTTTCGCCTAAATATTGGACGCATAGCAAAGTTTGATCAAGATATCCCGAGAAAATGAAAATATATTGTTTCAGAAATCTGAATTATTTATTCGACTCTGTATGCTCGGGCCGTAGTCTAATTTGTTGACTGCTGGATGCAGCATGGAAGCGGACGGATGGAGCATTAATATGCATGGGTTACTCAAACGTAGAAGACGAGTGTTTGCTGGGCTGTGTGTGGCACATCTTGCTGGATTTTCGTGCAGCTCGGCCATTGCAGTTTTGTGGTCTCGTTATTTGGGCGAACATAAAGTTAACACATTGTGCTCAGAATGGATGAAAAAGCCATTGCGACAATTTGTAAACTAAAGATGAATAAAACATGAAGTGAAAAACACTTTGGCGCTGATAAAAAGGCCGCGCAGCAACAAACTGTCAGCGAAGACATGTGTCCGCGCGTGTGTCCTTTAACAACTGCACAGTTACATAAACAGGATAATAAGGCACTTAACATGCACTCTTCGCCATCACCGTTGCCGTTGCCGTTGCCGTTGCCGTTGCTACCGATGCCCCACTGCTCCATCTGACGGCCAACACAATGGGACGAGGCCAGCAAAATACAAAAATACAAAGCTGCAAATGCCGTTGTTGGTTGTTGACTGTTGGCTCGTGGGTGTAGTGGGTGCGGCGGGTGGTGGGGGACGGCGGGCAGGCAGGACATGATGAGGACGGTGACGTAACAAGGACGACGGCCACAGGAAAACAAAGCTGCGTAAAGTCGCCGCCACTTATGTCAGGCCAAATCAAGCGTTACTCTTGACATCAGCCCGCCGTTCAGAGTTCACAACTCCGTGCAAAGTCGGAGTAGTCGGAGTAGACGGAGCAGTCTGAGGAGTCGGAGGAGTAGTCGCAGTAGTAGTCGTTCGGTTCCAAGGTGCGGTCGGCCTGCGGCCTCCAGGCATCCGCCATACGCTTAGACATTTGCCTCAAATTATGCTTTACGCCCTGCCATAAGCGTAATTGAAAATTTAAAGGCTTTCTTCTCTTAAGCCTACAAAAGCTGCCATCAACAGTTGCTCCTGAGCCCCGGAATATTTCGATTTTTTATATGATAGCGTTTGGTGTATTAACAGCGATATATATTTAGGCCCAGCATAGAGGCACTGAACTCATTTTAGCATCTGGAATGCAAATTGTTGAGACATCATTAAACTTGGATCATATAAAACTAGTTAGGGTAATAAAGTTTCTAAATAGGGTATTTGTTAGATGATATAGTGATACGTAAAGACGGGCTTAAGTTAAGCCTCGTTACAACTTAGAGTTGTTGAGGGCTCAGGGCTATGCAGCGACTCACATGCACAAGGATACAAGGAGACTGATTATAGTGGAAGTTACACAAAGCCTTCTAGATACTGTTGAGCTAATTCATAACTTGTTGTATCCTGAACGCATTGAAAATTGGAATTTAGGGCATATTAGCTATATGAAAATGTATGTAACACGTAGAAGGCGGATTGGAAGACCACATCAAGTATATATATTCTTGATCAAGATGACTAGCCGAGTCCTTTTTGTCCGGAAAAATGGTCTGTCTGACCGTTAATCTTTCTGTCTTTTTGTCCGTCCTTATGTCGGTCCCTCTGTCAATCCTTCTATTCTTCCGTGCATCTGCTTATCCGACTTACTATCCTTCCATCTAATCGCCTACCGTCCGTCTGTCTGTCCATTTATCTTTTGTCTGTCCTTCTATTTGTCCGTCCATCTTTCTGCCCATCTGCCTATCCTTTTCCGTCCGTCCGCCAAAGCCGTAGAGTGATTGAAATATCATCTCCTCTCAGCATTCAGGATATTTCCTAGTCCTCAAATTCGATTATTGGCTGAAATCTTAAATTTAAGTAAATAACTACAGTAAATCGATTAATGAATTCGATTTGGCTACCAATTGGTAAATTAAATTCACTCCTTCGACTGCTGTGGCTGACAAGGGCCTTCGCCTGGGGCGCCGAAGTTAGATTTTTATATTCATGGCTTCTGTATGGGTGCAAATGGTTCTCTGCGTGTGTGGGTATTAACATCAAAGCTGCGTGCTTATATTTAAAATGTTGCACCCACACAGACAAACTAAAAATTAATTTATAAACACAAAGCGAGTTAGGTGGAAGACAGTTGTAGCCAGAGGGACGCTATACATACCGGCAAGCTTATGCTGCTCATACATATACAATAGTAAATTAGCTCTCTTAATTTAGCTTTTCTTGTACGTGTACTTGCTCATGATTTAATCGTGCTCACTTTTTTGCTACTGTGGAAGACAAAATACTATCTCATAGCCATAAACACGCCAAGTCGCCATCCGTTCGGGTCCAGCTTTAGCGCTGGGAATTGCAGCCAAGCTAATTACAATAAGTTAGAGTGCGCTTTTTGGGAGTACACGACTGGCAGTTGCCCTGTACAAAATACAAAATTCACAATTCCCTGTTTATAGCTTCCTCGATTTGAAAGCTAAGTCAGGAGTAGCAAAGTTGCTTGCTTCTATGATATGCCGTATACCTTTGCCCACACTCAATATACCCTCTCTGTGTGTGCTCAGTGTCTACGTGGTGTAAAAAGTAAAAGCATAACTCATTTTGCTTGCTTTTAGCGTTTTCTTACCCACCCGAAGTGGATAGAGACCAGCTCCTGCTCCCAGTGGGAGGACTTGCAGGATTGTAAAAATGCTTGTGGCTGACCACCATGGCGAATGCAATCGAATGAAGGTCATCATTGCATAGGTGGACGATCTCATACTGTCGCGAGGTCTTCTACTCGTTCAGCGTGTAAATCGACTAAATGAGTTTAGCTTCATGTTAATTCTGATTTGAGTTATACAGTGGAGGTCACTTGAGTTGACCTCTGTGACATTTCAACTTTGGATTTTGACTAATTAGCTTTTGCATTCTATGTTATGTCTTTATAGTACTTCGAGCCCAGTTGCGCCGGAATTTTGTTAATCATTAAGTTCATGGGTCGCATTGTAGCTGTTTCTGCCCCGAAGTCTTAGAGAACGAGCCGGTTAAAGTCACAATATTCGTCGCATACCACAAGCTAATGAAAGATGGAGCTGCTGCAGTTGCTGTGCTACACATTCCTGCTGCTACTGTCGAGGATGCTGGGTGAGTACATCTGGAGCCGAGAACACGTCTCCCCTTTTCAGAGCTGAATAATTCGTTGAGCGCTGGAATTGGACAAGCTCGGGGTCAGTGCCAGCCGTGTAAACGATATGCAAAGTGGAAATTATGAGCACCAGCTGACGAGCGCCTGCATAACTAGGCAATAACAAAAAGAGGTCATGTTCCAAGCCACGTTCTCTACAGCAAATTGTTGCTGTTGCTCGACTACACCAGCGTCATAGATTTGGCACGCTCTGAGCTGAAAATGTTGCAAGCATTCTCTGCAAATAACATTGTAAACAAATAAAGGAGCTTGGCGCAAAGACCAGACTGGGTGCTCTACTCCATCCCTCTCTCAATTGTGTATCATCAAATTGAGTTTATATAGGGAAAACTTACTTTCGAGAGAAAACACAAAAAGGGAATAGATAATAAGTATATAGTATATATTGAACTATGTAGAGGTGGAGACTTAGTGCCAAGGGCAGATTGATATAGGAAATAAATACATGCAAAATAAGAGAGATAGAGAGAGAGAGAGAGAAAGAAAGAGACTGAGAGAGATCACCAGATAAGGGTATGTTTTAGTGTGAGAAAGCTTGAGATAAATGAGGAAATGATGTGTGAGAGAGAGAAAGAGAACGAGAGTAAATATGAGTTACCACATAAATGTAAGATAAATGTACGTGGGTCTGAAAAATGCATGCATGCCGACTAGTAAGAAGAAGAAGAAAAGTAAAAGAAAGGACGGAAGTGAGAGAATATGATGATGTCAGATATGAAGAGTAACAATGGAGACAGATAGCAAAAGTGAAAGAAACGGAGGAATACTTGAAATTTAGAACTGGAAAAAAACTTTGAAATATAACGAGTGAGGGACAGAGGGAGAAAAAGAAACAGAAAGAAAGAGAGAGAAAGGAAGGGAGAGAAATAGGGAGACAAAGAGACATAGAAAGATTAGTTGTTAAAGAGATCGAAGTATATACATAAGTAGGTAGGTAACAAATGGGTAATAAAAGTAAATGCAAGAGAGAGGAGGAGATTTAGAGCATAAAGAGAACGCGAGATGAAGTCATGTAGCCTCAAATGAACTCGAGCTCAATTCAAGTTACATTTCAAAACTTTGCATTTAACTTAAGTAAACATTCTTTTCTAGATCAATGAAATAGTTCAGGAACAAAGTCAGCCAAAGACATGAATAAGTATAAATAATGGATGGGAATTGAAAGTTGTCTGCTAGATCCAAAAATAGAAGTAGAAGTTACGGCTGGAAGACAAATGGCCCAGTACCGCTGTGCCATGACCTTAGCCATTAGGCATTCGTTAGTGGGAGGCTAGGAGCTAGCGCAACAGTACCAGCAACCGCGACACCATCGACCAAATAACATCTCAAGGGCTGCCTCGCACCGCCCCCCGTATCGGTTGCCCAGTGCAGCCCGCACTCCAGCCCTACGAACGCCATGTAAGAGTTCAGTGTCGCACTTTGTGGGCGAGAGCAATATACATTTTAAACAGTTGGTCACTCGAGCGACGACTGTAACGTGTGGGAGATATAAATATGTTATTTGTGGTGTGCCCAACAGGAGTGGGCATGGTATAAGAAAGACCCATATATATATATATATATATATATATCCTGTGGCCAACTTTAATTAGATCTTTAAGTCTTTAAATTGAAATACAAATTATATATACATATATATTTATTTTGAAATACCTTTAACAAAAGCGGTCTTACTTCTGTAATTTTTATTTCAATTCGAAGAGGAAAGTAAATGCAATAAATTCACGTTAAAATTGCGCAATAGTCGGCGTCTGGGATCCGATTTGACGTCGCAAAAGCATTTCGGAATAAAACAGGTAACATCGCCTGAGTTAGCTCGGCACGCTAAATGCCCGCCTAACTCTTAGTTTTCGTACTAGTGCAAGGCTTGACAGCAAAAGAGAGAGAGAGAGAGAGAGAGATAGAGGAAGAGAGAGAAAGAGAGAGCGAGCGCATTATAAAGAAAATCGCCAGACGTAGACGACGCGTCGACGGCGTGCCAAACCCTCTAGTCTGGCCGATAAGCACGCCACGCTCTTGTTTGTGCCCCATTTTAAGTGCGCCTCCCGATTAAACAAAACATAAATTTTACAGACGATAAATCAGCTGAGAGCGTTGAGAGCTGAACAACAGCAGGTGCAACCTCCAAACTCCAAGCTCACATCTCCAACATCTCCATCTGCATCCCCATCCCCATCCCCATCCACATCCTCATCCACATCTATATGCATCCAGCTAGAAGCAGCGCATCCACGCAACTGGCAAACAATACTAAAACCAATGTCAACAAGATGGAATGCTTTTTTGTTGTCGTCGCGCCAAATATTTAATACCCTTGGGCATGTACAACTTAATTTAATTTAATTTTTTTTTATTTACATATAAGCAATGCATATCATAAAGAGTGTTTGCATAAAGAAAACTTAACGTATAATCCATTAATTGCTCGAGCTGCACATACAATATATTTTTTATAGATTAAGCGCAATTTTATGGAATCTATAAAGTTAGAATAATTAAGTTTAAATTGTTAACATTAACATAAATCTTTGATTCTACTTATTTAATACGAGTGAAGGAAAGTTAGAGGCGGGCATAGATAGAAGCTGTGGAGCTTGAAAGATCTGTTAGAATTAAGGGTAACTCACTTACACACTTGCTTACTTGTTCGGATGAATATAAACTTTGACTCATTTATAAATAGAAAACATCAAAAATAAATAAACAACATTAACTTTTCAGTTTAGGCTGTATATATTTTGACAGTCTTTGCAACTTATTTTCTGAAGTCAGCCATATACATATATTGCTCCCTCTATTCTATTCAACAATATTTGAAGTTAATTAGATTTCCCAATTTCCGATGTTGAAATTTGTCAGCTTTTGTCTGTTGTTAATGCTAGCCAGATTTATATGCGAGATAGCCTATCTGTGCTGTGTTTATCGGAGTTGATTGATTTATGTACTAGCAATGTGACGTTGTCATTGATGAAAAATGTTTCTAATGTATAGTGTAGTAAAAACGGTTCCGGGCTTAGATCAACCCAAATCCAGGATGGTTAACTTCCGTAGATCAAGAGCAGCTATTCGACCCAAAGAGCAAGCAAATGAAGCGAGATCATAGGCAAAGCGAGAGTGAGATTGGCTCACATCTCAAGCTTCGAGTGCTGTTATTTTGAGGGAGAAGCGCTTAGAAACTAAATTACAATTTCACTTTGACTTAACAGATTTCAATTTGTAATCGCCATTGTTTTCAAATTCCATTTTTCTATTATTCACTCGAATAAAAATCCCTCTCTTATTATTCTTAATAATAGTTGACTCAAATTTTTGTTGACTAAAATTAATTAATTGATTATTTTGATTTTTTTTGTGGATGAATGACGTTAAAGCTTGCATGATCTAAAATTCAACTCCGGAATCTTAGGGAGGCTTCTTGGCAATCTTTTATAATATTATATATATTTTTCCAAGTTTCAGAGTCTTCCAATACTTAACATATATTTATATACTTTATTTTATACTTTCATTTTTAATTTTTCAATATACATATATATTTTTAATTTAATTTGTTTTAAATTATCATTTTACTGTAAATCAAATGTGTCGCCCATTATTCTGCACTCTCGCTGATTTGAGCCTCGGCTAGCGCACTTTGATCGGATGCAAATCGAAATGGCGAAACTCGTGAAGAGACATATAATGAGAATAACTGCTCAACATTTAACATTTGCAAATTGTGAAGTCGCAGCAAAAAGCTGCAGAGCTCGAATCGCTGTCCAGTGCAATACGGCGGAGTCGCTGCTCCCGCCGTAGTTGGGCGCGTCTGCATATCTAAGTCCGCGGCGTTCCATTTGGATGGTGGCTGCATTTTTATGCTTCGCTTGTTTTCAAACTGATTTTACTCTGTTTTTTCTGTCCTCTCATTCTGTCGCAACCTTCGGTTACTTGACTTTTGTGTCATTGTTGCCAAAAGTCTGCGTTATTGTTCCATCTGCTCGTGCCATTCCCGTTTTTGTCGCTTACCCTACCGGTCATCATCATTATTGGCATTTTGCCATTAATTTGCGACCGAGAATTCACAAAAAAATATGTAAAACTACAGCCGAAAAGTTCTCGACTGTCGTATACCCTACAAATGTATGAAACGAGAAAAGAGTTAAGGGAAGTCACCGAGTACTTAGCTTACTTGAATGATATGCAAATAATAATAATAATATTAATAATAATAATAATAATGATAATAATTTGCTGCTAAGATATTTGCCTTATCCTGTTATTTGCATTAGCTAATAATCATTATACCACTTTAAAAATTAGTTACTGCGTATCACTATACTTATGCCTTATATTAAACGGCATGTCCTGAAATCAGATTTATTTTCAAACAATTTCGAGTGTAAGTGAAATGCTAAGTATACTACATATGCCCTCGTCGTGTAACCCATTCAAATGCTCATGAATTCGGATTGGTACCGGATTTTTATTTATTTCTATATGTAGCTATATATGTATATGTGAGTTACATCCATATATATGGACATTTTTATATTGATTAAACCATTATTATATCTTATATCATATGTAATGAGCTGCTCGTTCAATGAACCAATTATTATAATTATATCCCAATATACCACATATGTTTATATGTATCCAATGTATATAAATGTCTACTAAAGTTTGTTTTCAACTCGAAACTACCTCTGCAATTTATTTGCTTTCATTGAATTCGCTTTTCATAATCAGGTAACATGGAAATATCAAATATAAAAGGAAATGATTCAAACGCAATTGCGTATTTTTTCCTTCTATGATAATGAAGTGTGGCAGAGACTTCATTTGCTTATGACACTGAGCCATAATCCAATTTCAATTCGACTTTATTTTTGCATTATTTGAAACATTTAAAATTTCAATTGTTGCATTTCTCATTTGCGAATAAAAAATGCATCAGAGA